ACCAGGTTGAGCTGGCACATGCATCAGCAGTCTGCCGACGGCCAAATGGGACATCTAATCTATCTAGAATAGACATAAATAATGTTAGAATTCTTCTCTCAAATTCGGAGTTCATACTTGACATTATACCTGCGAATTTATCTCTTTGCATGGGAAAATACTGAATTCAAAAGACGGCGGACGATCCGGTAGGAACCCGTTTGCAAATTAACCAACAACGTGGGTTAAGCAACTATTCTATTAACTTGCTGGTCTAATTTTCCTGTGAAGCAGGGTGATTACTTGTCTAACCAAGATGTGAAACAAAGACATTTCGGCCATTTCAGCAAGCATGCAGATGCCGAAGGCAATACACCGGTTTTCGCCAAGAAAAAGAGTAGGATACGCACCCGTTCTAACTTTTGCAGTTCGTATCGGGCATTTTCCTACAGCTAACTAGGAGTGTGCAGCTAATGACACCTACGTCCTGGTGGTGTTTAATATAAATCACGAGACTGTCGACTGTCTGCGTTTGATGGTCATCTGAACAGAATGACCACGACAGATTTTGAAGGATGTAGTGGGCGCACTGCCTGCTCGAGTAATTATTCTCCTACGCATGCCTTCTTGATCCTCTTCACGTGGTTATCGCTCAAAAACATTTAATCGCCGCGGAACTTCAGCAACTATCGTGGTCCCTAACAAATATAAAGACTTGTCCAGTCTTTTTTCTACTGTATATCTCATCGCCTTATACGCTTTTCAGCTATGGGCGGAGAGAACGCCGACGGATACTATCATACACTTATTTGATTGAGCACGAAATGGTGCCCTTGGGTGTCTGAGGAGTAGAACCCTCCGCTTGCCAACATGTGGACTGGTTTGCTTCTCCCGTTGCCTTTTAGGCCTCACCCAGTTATCATTAATCGGACCCAGAGTGGCCTTGTCGATGTTTGAAATATTGGCTAGCGACTCACGCGCAGGGCTCTCTGCCGCTAATCTCCGAATCCATTCAAGGCTGATGGCAGATATAATCTGTATCGGCATCTAACTAACGCCGATGTGATAAGGAAGAATAAAATGCAATTATTGTAAACTATGCATTTGTCACTGAGATTCATCACACTGTCTGCACGGAATGCAGATGGTGAATTTCCGGTGTTTGATCTGCCATGGATGGGGTCGTTTTGAAATGCTGGGTCCGGAGTGAGGTATTATTTCAGGCCTCACTCGCCGAGCAGTATGACGCTTTTGAATGCTTGAACGGACATGGGTGTTACTTGTCTTCCCTTAGCATTATTCATCGGTGCTCGTAAGACTGAAATTGCTTTATGCGAGGCATCAGATATCTTTGTGAATTTGGGGACCATGTCTGAATGTAGCAGGTAGTCCGCCGAGTGTTTAGTGAAAATATCATTGGCGCATGACGGCGTTATCCTGCCATAAGTGCTAAATGTGACTTAATGCATCTATACGCTGCAATTTTTTGGTTGTTCTTATTGAATTCCAACTGCATGAGAGTCTAAATTTCCGACTGTTTGCTTGGTTTTTATTCACATACTAAGCATAATCAATTCACTGTTTTTGAATACTTTTTGCACGCCGTATTCGCTGAAACCTGAAACATCTTTTACTCGCCTCATCAACTGTTAACCAGAAATGTCGGCATGAGTTTTAAATTCCATTTAATTGGAGTTATCACTTTTTATAATGCTGTGCAACCCCAAGTTATTTCAGTGACGCTTGGATATGGGCTTTTGTACGAGCTGCTTTCTGGACCGCCTGCAAACTCTCACTCGGTTGTAAATGAGTGCCTACATAGTCTGAATTTTGATGGTCGAACTTTGGCGCTTATATATCTTCAGGTATATTTGAAGAAAAACACGCACGAATGTGCTCTTCCTCAAAGTCATCTGATAGCAAATTGCGCCGTCTTCAGAATTTCACATTAGAAGAATGCGTATGTTTTTTATAGCTTTATAATTGTGAGTTTCTTATTCAGTGAAATGTGTATGCATACAGCATAGCATCCGCCCGTTTGGTAATGCTGCTTCTGAGGTACAAACAGTTGCAACTTTCTATGGGTCATATGTGGTTTATTCTCGGTAGCCTAGAGAAGTCAGTGATGTTTCTCACACGGAAAGTGTGCAGCATCTAGTTTTGAAGCCCTAGACGCAAGTATTTATGCAGATCAGGAGTTAAAAAAGTTTTAAAACGGAACTGCGACCTTTCTTGAAGTATAAAATTGAGGAAGGCATATTTTCCACAACATTAATTCAAGAAAAAATAATTTGCTTATGTTTTTTCGCAAAATATGTTTGGATTTAAAGGGCCATCGGATTTGATTGGGAAAAAACTTACTGCTCAAGTGGTCCTATTTTGCCGAGTGTGGTTTCTGCAGGCGGCCGGAAAGACGAGTATGCGAAAGCCGGCATCCTGTTGTGACTGAAATATTTTTGGACTGCGCTGGATGATAATCAGTATCACGACCCCAGAAAAGTCATTTCTCTCCTCAAAAGCACATTCCGGAATTTTGGTCAACATTTCATGAGGTAGGCCAGCTAATGTAAGAGGAAATAAAAGGGCCAGCTGCTGATGCCCAACAACCGTGTTGTTAAGAAACAAAATCTTTGCAGTTTTTAAGAGGATGCTGGGACACTATATAATCTTTGCATGTAGAAATCGTCTTCCTTGTCGTGGAATGCACACACAGAAAGCTGTGGTAATTGAAGTAGCTTTGGACAGGGAAGTGAGCTCGTGGCTCAAAGGTGGAGCATTCGAATTTGGGCCGAGTGATCAAGAAATGAGCGTTTAAATATCCAGTTTGCCAGTGCTGAAGTTAGGTATTACCGTCAGAACTGGTTCCTCCATTCTTCCTCGTTTTTGTCGCTATCCATTCACAAAAGTTCGAGTGAAATTCTGAAATGCGTTTTCACTTCCAAAAGATTACTTCATAGGGTTGTAATATAAATTATCTTGTGGCATAATGCCAGGATATTCCAGTTACGCCGGGATTCTTGCCTTCGAAAGAGCCGCCTTTGGAAATTGCATCCCGCAAAAATGATTACTTATATGGCAAGAGTTTTTATGATTGATTTTCGGCACGCGTACAAATTCAAATATATTTGATAGTAAATTACGTTTTATTAAATGTTTATACTTGAAGAAACGTAACCTTTTTTCATCTTTTTTAAACCTTTTTTTAAATTCCAGATCAATTTTAACCCCACTTGCCGTTGCTCTTGCATTCGGATTTTCCGAGCTACAAGTTGCATACTTTTCGTGCAGGGAGAATCATACATTTTTATGTCGTTATGCATATACCGCTCATAAAATTCTGCGAATTTGGGAGACTATATTTGAATGCCATAGGACGTGTACAGAAAATTATATGAAAATGCCACTGAAGCATGACAGTAGCATCCTGCATCAAACGCTAAATTCAAATACATATTTTTTTCTAACTCTTGTTTGCTTGTACCCTTTATACAATGCCGTCTAATTTTCACAGGCAGGAAAACCCCGTGAAGGAAAACAGCATGCGTCATTTATGACAGTAATTTGTTTTGAAGAAGAAGAAGAAGACACGATCGCTGAGACAAGAGCCTTATTAGCCTGACGTTTCGGATTCCTGCTCGAATCCATCATCAGAGACACGTCAGTCATGCAGACCATTTTATAAACCCTCATTCAGATGCCTTTAAATGGACCTTAGCCTGTAATTCTACATTTACCTTGAAAATAGTTGCTAGCGCTTCATAGGATTGGGCACGTGATATAAACCCGTTGTATTTCCTAATCTGTCTGTTCTCTGTCACAATATTTTAGCCTGTATTTTATCTATCTTAAAAATGTCTTGTACGTAGCCAACGTGTCGACCCCTTGAATTTCAGCGCGGCATTTTGGCACTTAAAGCCGACTTATATGCGCATAAAGCCAAATCCAAATTCTTTGATTTTTTGAATATACCGCGGCTGATAATAGAGAGTCCTGCTATGTGTTGGCTGGCGAGATTTCATAACACCATATCACCCTTCTAAACTTCGTATGTGCTAATGCCTTCCCACCCGCATACGAAAGCCCATGACAAAACGCGTAATATACACGTGAGAACGGTTTTGCAGAACACGAGAATTTCTGCAGGGTAGTATCAAAACTACTACGGAATGTGGAGTGATAACTTCTGTGCTGATAAGCCCATAAAAACAAGGCCTCGTTTTGCTCACATCAGAGGTTCTCCGGTCTGCTCACGGCTTCTGGGTAAATTAATTTGCCTGAAGCAGGAATTACACAAGTTGCGTCGTTTTTGTGGAAGAAAACGACGTTTACTTAAAAGTAAATATTAATGACATTTTATTCACAGTTCTGCCCGTTTGCAACTATTCCTTTTTCCACTTTTTCGGTAACTAGTGGATTCCGTGGTGGAAAAAAGTGTTGAGTTTTGAAGCGTTTCATTGATTTTGCCAATTCCGGCCCGAAGAATCATTTATGAATGCTGTCTAATACGCTCTTAAGAGGCTCAAATGTACGGTTTCAGTGGGACTATAGACATCGGGATCGTGTGTTGGCATTGGTTAAATGTACGCTGAGGTAATATGAGAAAATGAAGAGTAATGCGAGAAGCACTTCTGATTTTTTCCGAGCTTGTGGATGTTGAATGTCACACAACTATACACGTAGTCCCAGGCATCTTTTATGGTTTTTAAAGATTAGGCTTCTCACAGTAAACCCTTTTTTAGAAAATTACTCCGACCGAAGGGACCCAAATCGGATTTCTTACTCTAATTGCTTAGGCATCCGTCGTGCAATTCAGAACCTAGGGCAAAGTGATAGTGCCTCTACAGGAGTTTTATCAAGTCGTACCGAAGGATAACTATAGATGAACCTCTCCGAATTGCTCAGAAAGTCGATTTTAACCTTCACTGGCTGACACTTCATTGAAGCTAAGCCCACCTGACCTGGATTCCCCTATTTTCGACTGTCGGCCGATAGTCCACAAACGCCAGTCTCTCGAGATTTCCATGACGGTCGATGGCAGCTGTTTTCTAACGTCGGTTACTCTGAAGTTCCTTGATCCCGGCGCTAACTGTCCCAGGGTGAGTTTCTGCATGTTGTCTTAGTGTGACTGAGGTAGCGACGATATCGTCCCTTCGCAGGGTTTCTCAGTACTGTCCCAGATACTCATGATCTATTCAACCCAATATTTGAAATCAAAAACGTTCTTTGGGAAAGGGAGAAAACTTTATTAAGTAAATTTTCGACGTCGGTTCCACGTGTCGTCGTCAGACTAGAGTAAATGTGCAGAAAACAATTAAAATTTCAAACGTGCTACAAAATCAATACTCATTTGGTGCCTCAGCTAGTAAGCTGCCGTCGTATGTGTCAGTCCGTATTGATCGGCTTTCGTCTCTTCCACTTTTCTCTGAAATTCTTGTACGTGGCATCTAACTCGATATGCCTGTTGATGCATGACTCATCGGAGTGCATGGCTTCAAGAAACTCTCGGCCTTTTTTAGATGGGCAAACTCCGACGATGCGAGTTTTGTCCCATGCGAAATTGTGTCCAGTATCAAGAGTGTGCATGGCCATTTGAGACAAGTGGTCTCGCCTCTTAACTGCTAGTTGATGTTCGTGGATGCGTGTAGAGGCAAATTTTCCCGTTTGGCCACAATATACGGCATCACAGGCCTCGCATGGGATCTTATAGACGACTTCTTTTTTATCGAGATAGCCAACCCTATCCTTAGGGTGTACAAGCTGGGTGCGTAAAGTAGTCGTCGGCTTGTACGCCACTTTTATCTGGTGTTTTCTCAAGTGTCTTTCAACAAGTTCAGACACATTCCTGATGTAAGGAAGGATTCGCCAAGTGTTTGCTTTGGGCGCCTGATTGGAACTATCTAGTTCCTTTGTTTTTATCTCTTGTTGTTTCATGCATCGACGTACGAAATCCCTCGGGTATCCGTTCTGGGAAAATAATTCAAATAGGTAGTTTAGTTCAACTTTGTAGCTTTCTTCGTCAGAGCAATGTGTTTTTGCTCGATGTATCAGGCTTTTGACAGTACTCCGCTTGTGAGAGATCGGACTGTTGCTCTTATAGTGTAGAATTATTTCTGCATATGTTTCTTTGCGGTAAACGGAGGTGTGTAATGTTCCGTCAGTCTTACGCTGTACGAGAACATCTAGAAATGGGAGTTTATTGTCAAGTTCTTTTTCCAACGTGAATTTAATTCCCGGAACGGTTGAATTGATTGTGTTGTGGAGTATTTCTAGCTGATCCGTTTTAACGACGACAAACGTGTCGTCTACATATCGTACCCATAATTAGGGTTAACTAATGGAAGAGCCACCGATTCCAATTTCTGCATTGTCACCTCGGCAAGAAAGCCATATATGGGTGATCCCATTGGAGCACCTTTTAGTTGTTGATAATATTGGTGATCGAATGAAAAATTGGTTTCTAAGCAAAGGTCCATAAGTTCAAGTAAGGCAGATGGGGGAACATCCGTGTCATAGGACTTTAGGAGTTCATCTGTGCATTGCCTTGCGAAATCTAATGATATGGAAGTGAACAAAGAAACCACATCAAAGGAGACCATTATCTCATCCGCGGAAATTGTGATGTCTCTCAGTTTCTCTGGAAACTCCATGGAATTCTGAATGGAAGTGGCACAATCTCTCGTAAGTGGATGAAGTTGGTGGAATAGCCACTTAGAAATTTTGTAATTGGGCGCACCGATTAATGATACTATCGGTCGCAGTGGTACCTCAGGTTTGTGAACTTTCGGCAATCCGTAGATCTTGGCGATGGTTGGTTCGGATTGTCTCAGAGATTTTGCAATATCTCCTGGCAGTTTTTTCGTTCCCGTGGCCGTCATATTTGCCTCGGCAAGTCCAATCTGAAACTTCAGGAATTCAGTGAGTTCTTTTAACACTAAGAGATATTTAGACTGTCTAATTTCTGTCAGTCTTCCCCTGTTACGCTTGAAAGGCCGGATCGACAAACACGTGTTTTTGTGATTTCATCGCCAAGCCGCTGAAATTACACGGCGGATGAATTTGTGTGCCGTAGACAGGTTTTGAGTGTCTCAGGAGCTAGTCACGCTCGTGCTCACCCAGATTGCATGACGAGGTCGGCTTGCTGTGGTCAGTGGGTCTGAGGGAGTTGGAGTAGGGTGTGAAAAATGTCCATATTTTGAACACAGGGAGCGCGCGTGACTGTTCGTTGGGAGTTGGAGCGGCTTTCGATCACTACCACGAGTCGACGATGGCCACGGATGACAGAGCATCTGCACCAACTTCTTCTGAAAAACAAAGCGCTGGGTTCGCTGGCTGGAATTGATGAATTCTTACCTCCACCCAGCCACCCACCCATCGGTCGCATACTCCCTTTCCCAGACGCCTCGTTAGACTGCCCCTCTGTCTTGCTCTAGAGCAGAAAGCGAATTAACAAATGCATAACAATGTGGCCCGCAACGGTAGCCGGCCCTTTCGAGGAGTAGGCGGAAGTCCTCCGCGGGCGGAGCCCTCCTGATAGCTGTCTTCAGGCATCGTCTTGATAATTCGTTTGCAACGTCTCCTAGAAAAGGGAGTCTTTGAAATAAGTCTCTCTTTTCTGCAGTTGCGGTGGTGGGATGTTTGGCATGCGAGGTGGGTTCTGAAGTTGCTAGAACTCAGTTTCAACGGGTTCGGGCGAGCAGGTACGTCTCACTCTGGCCTCCGATTCTTAGACTTCATTTCGCTTTAGATTAAGGGAAACGAAATTGTAAAAAATTAATATACTGTCTCGTCCACGTTTTCTTTCGACTTACCTTGTGCTAAATAGATTCATCCGCCTTTCTGTGTAGAAGGACCTCGAGGAACACGGTTTCGTTATCCGCCTCAGACTCCGCAGTAAACTTTAACGAGATATTCGTCCTGGTAGGATTCTGGACCTGGGTGCCGATATCGGTGGCATGAGCTGACAGCCAAATATCTTCCGCGTACCGGCTGCAGCAGTTGAATTAATTAATAATGTCCTTTAAACTCGTTTTCACGACCTTTTCCATAAAAGCATTTGGGAGAAATGTCCCAAGTGGTAAACCCATCGTCAAATCATCTACTTGTCTATATGATTGACGGTGGGAGAGAAACTAGGCATTTTTTATGCACCATGTAAATAAGTATTTTATGGTTTCCACTGTCATGCTTATCTTGTAGTTTGATCGTCAAGTAACGTCACAGGTGTAGTTTAATGAGTCTGCCACGTTTACGTTGATAGACAGTAACTATGTATCTAACGGTGAAATCCTCCGTCCGCAACGTTTATATTCTCGGCAGCGTCGACAAACTCAGAGGTTTCATTCAAACACTGAGGGCGTGGATAACTTTGGGGCAACTTTAACTTTTCTACCAGCCATTTTGTAATGGCGTGATAGAACGAATTTCTCATACCCGTGATTGGACGCAGGGCTAGCTCATATTTGTGAATTACCGGAAGGTCGTACGCTCTGTGTATCGTCCCAGCCGTGAGATTAGACTTGCGCAGCATCTTCCGCACTCTCTCCTCCACAACTGAACGCGATGTCAAAGCACAGGCAAGAAGAGCGGGAACGGGAGACGATGCAGGTGGCTGGCGCGGTCAGATCCGCGCCTAGGCGTACCACCACAATCCCTGCTCTACAACAACCACTCGGCCAGGATTTCAACCAACAACAATAGCACCACAACGGGTCAGAAAGAGGATAAGGATGACTGGGCAGCCATGATCACGACCTGTATATCCAGCGGGAGAGCAAGTGCATCTACTAGGCGGGAACATGCTAGAGCATACCAGGCTGCACGAGTCATGGTTTGCTGATCATGACATAGCAGATACGTACATACAGTGGGTGGGCTAACTCATGAAATGTCAACCGAAATTACGAAATGCTCTTCCGTTTCGATTTGAGTAATTAAGTAGAGTTGTAAAACTAATAATTGTGCAGTATAACTCTAGAATAATCCAGTAACTTCAAGATGCCGGCTTTCGAACGAACTTCCTTCCGGCTGCAAGCAAAAACTATACTCTGCAAACAATGACTATTTATGTAGCACTCATTTATCTCATTGATTTTCGATACCCTTAAAAATTCAATTATATTTCATGGAAAACATGCATAGAATGTTCATTCTTTTGTTCATTCAGTAGATAATTACGTGTTCTCCCAATTTTATATTCGAAGGAAGGGTATGATTCTGTGTTAGAAAAGTTTCTAATTGTGAGATTTTTTAATATCGTGAAATGTTCGTTCATAAATCGTTATGTCTCTGCATTTACCATCGTGGCTTGTAAAGTCAACAATATGGCTCAAACCCACTGCTAAATTTTATGAACACCATATTGTGTCCTCTTAATACCGCAAAGAAATGTATGGTTTTCCGTATGCTGAAAATATCCGGCTTGTAGTTTGGGAACCCTGAATGCAAGTGTAACGATAGCTCGGATTCAAAATTATTCGGGAACTGGACACGTTTTTGGAAACCGATTTATACCCTTTCTTCCTGTATGAGATTGGGAGAAGACGTAATTTTCTACCCAACGAGTAAGAGTATGAATATTTTTATGCATGTTTTCCACGAAATATAATTGGATTTTTAAGGGCATCGAAAATCAGTGAGAAAAATGCATGCCACATAAGTAGCCATATTTTGCAGAGTATAGTTTTTGCAGGTAGCCGGGAAGGAGTTTATTCGAAAGCCAGCACTCCGAGTTAACTGAATTATTATAGAATTATGCTGCACACTGATTATTTTTACAACCCTACCTAATTAATTTTTTCCAAACGAGAACGCATTTCGAAATTTCGATTGGCATTTCATGTGTTTGACCACTTACTGTACCTTGGCCGCCCATACTTGAACATAAACTGATCGTGGGGCGGGATGTCAGATTATGGCAAATTGCTCCCCGCACCTACGCAACGGGCCACGAAGATAATCACCCACTGCATGCGCAAGAAAAGTCGCGATATGATCGAAGCCTGGGCCTCACATGTGAACTCCGTTGATAGATGCATCGGTCTGGCGCCGGCGTACAGTGTCCTGCGCAGTTACCTCCAGAGTGGCGTCAATGATGTTTGATTGGCTCATACCCGCGACAACTCTTGCTTGTCCTGTTACCGTTTTTGTCTCTGACAATGGACTCCCATGCGAGCTCGAAACCTCAGAAGAATAAGGAAATCGTCCCGTCAATCGAACATCCACCATCTACCCTACTTTTGAATTCACCTGGAATGCGAAGTCTCGCCTCAGTTCGTGAAAAGACCATCTCTGCAGAGATTTTAGAGAACTTTCTTTGACCGACCCTCGACGGCGTCGGCGCGATCCCTGAGTTTCTTGGATTTTGTAAATTTGACGCGATCCGACAATATTTCTTTTGGTTCCGTACATAGTACGTTTTATCCATTAGTACCGGCCTTCAACGATTGTCCGGCCTGGTTACCATTGAATTTTTGCTTTCGCTTAATTCCCTGGGATCTTTAAAATATGTCCATTCCAGGGGACCTTTGTTTCTTAGAATCCCCCTGAAATACTGTTGACAGCACTTCGCTGGGGTCCATTTTTTCCCGATTCGACGAAAACTTGAGTGTCTCGAAAGCAAAATTTCACACGCGGTGCTAAGTTTTCTTTGTTATTTCTAGGTCAATTCATACAGTTCCCAAATTTCTTGTTTTTGTGTCATTCTTAGTGCATCTAAACGTTTGCTAACAGTGGATCTATCAACTCCTAATATTTCTGACATTCTTTAAAAGTTTTACATGGATCGCGGTCGACTAACCTTCCCAGTTCTTCTTTGATTTGTTCCGACTGTCCTCAAATTTCCTTATTTTCTCTGCCACTTGCTGTTGACACTTAACAGTATCAAGCGAATAATTTCAGAAATTATTCAATGAAGGATATGGAGTTAAGTCTCCGGGACATGACTTTTAGAATCAGACCCGAGATTTCAATGAAGATTCGAGTCGAAGACCATCAACGACTGTGGAATAACCACGTAATGCCCGTTCTGAAAAGCAGTAGCACTACGAGCAGTATAATACTTTTGCCACTTAAAAGTATGTTGGTGATTCTGTTTTAGATAATCAAGGTTTCTATGAAAGGACACGTAACCATCTGCGATAGGTCTGCGATGTGTCGCTTTCACGCAATTCTGAACGTCTCGGATGACAATGGATGACGGATGAGTAGCAAACACATGCGGCAAGGCCTTTTACTCAGATACCCAGGGGGCAATTGGATCCAGATCGAAAGTTCACACTTTCTCAAATGGAGTTGTATACTGGTGATCTATGCCAGGCGTATATTCTTATTGACCGAACTGGGAAAGACTCGGCGCCTCGATGGGATCCAAACCCATGACAGCCAGGGAAGGGCTTCAGTACAGCCAAGGCTCTAGCCACCTGAGCTACGCGGTCTCACGACGGGACGTGAATCTTATCACATTTGGGTCAAGTTACCCGCCCCACCTACTGGAACGTCTGGAATCCACCAAATCTGATACTGTTAGCTGACTGTCCAAACGGGATTCCCTAAGTAATCCATCTAGAATCCGCAAGATGACTACCAGGCTCAGGTAATAAGTAGGTGTTTTAACAGATTTTCAATAGTTCATCCTGACTGGTGGGGCCTCGCAGCTTAGGTGGCTAGAGCGTTGGGTGTACTAAAGCCGTCCTCTTGCTGTCGTGGGTTAGAATCTCACCGCGTCAACGAGTTTTTCACGGTTGAGTCAATAAGAATTATTCAAAATCTTGAAAAGTCAGGTTGGCAAAAACGTGTTTTCGGTAATTCTTCGTCAGGCCAATACAGTTACATGAAGGAATGAAAATGTACAACATTAACGGTGTTTATAGGTGTCTCAAGGACTATTAAGTAATTAACACTCATGTTTCCCAAGTCGTCCGCATGACGAGGTCGGCGGGTTTTGGTTCTTAGAGCTAGGGGAGGGGGGTAAGAGAGTCTTTGAGTGATGTTCTTGGATTGAGTACACGGGGTATCCATCACTGTACTTTGGGAATTGAGGCTGCATGTCATCATCACTTGAGGTTGGCGCTGGCCACTGCAGAGAGCGCTTGTGTCAGGGTTTTCGGACAGCATAACACCGAATTCGCTAGCCGTATAGACATTGCCTCGGCCGTTGCTAGTATCCGTTGGCGCATGCCTTTAGAGAAGCTTGTTGGTGTCCGATAGACAACCTGAAATGCTTCCTTGGCATCGACTCAGTGATTCATATCGATAAAATGTTCGAGAATAGAACTCGAAATCGACCGGGTCTCACCTCTGTCCAGCCAGGCGGGCATATGTTCACGCAACCTCCTTACCAGGTGTCTCGTTGTGTGGCCGATGTATCCCGCTCCACAGGAGCAATTGAATGAGTAAATGCACATTTATGTGGCCTCCAGCGGTAGTCTGCCTTTACCTCCCAAACGTAGGAGAGGAGAGTTTGTGAAGCATACGCGTAAATTCGCCGCGGGGAACGCTCTCGTGATAGCTGTAGTTAAGCGCCGTCTGACTAGTTCGATCGCTGTGTCTCCTGCAAAAGGCATTCTTATGAATACATCTTTCTTTTCTGCAGTCGCAACAGTGGGCCTTGCAATGCGTTCCCCAATATTTCGGAGGATAAATCTATCTGGGTATCCGTTCTCCCAAAGTGTGTTCCGCAGCTGTTGGAGCTCTGCTTCAATAGCTTCAGGTGAGCAGATGCGCCTCACTCTAGCTGCCAATTCCTGGACTAGATTTCATTCGATGTTGAGGGGAACAAAACTGAGGAAATTAACGCATTTTACCGTCCAGGTTTTCTTTCGGAACACCCTGCGCTGCATAGACCCATTCGCCTGCCTGTGCAGAAGGACATCGAGAAACGCAATTTCGTTATCTGCCTCAGACTTGGCAGTGAACTTTACCGAGGGGTGCGCACTGTTGAACTTTTGGACAAGGTCGTCGATATCGGCGGTACCATTTGCAAGGAACGGTCCAAGAGGTGAGCCCATTGCCACGCCATCTATCTGTCCGTATAGTTGACTATTGCACAGAAACTGTACATGTTGTGTGCAACGCGCCAGTAGTTCTTTTAGCGTTTTTACTGGCATGCCAAAACATCTACCAGACGTCCACGAATGGCACAGCTTCCTCTCCTATCTCAAGAGCCTTCCTTGTGGGCTGTTCCGAGCCATTGTTGTTTTGTGCTTCTGCATGACGCTCAAACTGACGGCATTTCCCGGAACTTCGAACATTCCAAATGACTGTGGCGAACGCGTTACGGGGGGGGGGAGGTAGGGAAAGTACCCTAGCTCCTGCTGCCTGTCTGAGAGTTTCGAGTGAATACCTTGTCCGCCGGGGGCTTCAATTAAATTTGCTGGCTGCCTTCTCTCGTTCTGCTTCCCCCTCCTCTACCCAATGCCCTGGCTAACTGACCCTGTTCTTGGCTTTGCTTTCACCGACTGCCAACTCTTGCACCTACCGCGTGCGTTTCCTACTCTTCCTCACCTCACTCACGTCATAACGCTTTATCAAAGTGTACCACACCTGGACGGAGATCCGTGAGGCTACAGCATGCTCACGCCTGACAATCACTTCTGTAACTTTATTTGAATGCCAGTGAAGTCACATTTAGCCTCGGGAAAATGATGTTTGTTAAAGTAATTTGCTCTTTTTCCTCAGTGTTGCAAGGGTGAATATGGGCGCTAGAACTTCTATATTGGCATAGGACAGAGGCAAGCATACATACCGTCTCCGCCGACTGTTTCGTGACAGTGTGGAAGGTTGGTGTATGGAGACAAGCCTTATGTCCATAGGGACAGGTTTTTAAACGAAGAAGAGGATGAGGATGAGGAGGAGGAGGAGGAGGAGGAGGAGGAGGAGGAGGAGAGGGAGGAGGAGGAGGAGGGGGAGGAGGAGGCTGGGTGAGGAGAAATAAAGAAAACTGAGCACAAACATCAGCAATTCAATTGCGAATTAGCCCCAGCTCAAAGAGAGTTTACATCTGTCAGTAGTCAAATTAGAGCCGAAAGCGCGTTTGTAGCCCTATGTAGCTCTCCCTGAATCGCAGCCAATGCGATCTGAGGCAGTAGCTCAGGCATTAGCATAATGAGATTTGGTTCACCGGTTCTGGTAAAGGAATGCCGAGTACGGTCATCAGCATGGCGTTCACGAAATGAGTTTTCTTACATGCCGAAAGCGAATGGCGATCTGTTATTCAGAAGATCTGATTTTCTGGGGATATGTTTGCTAAGGGGGACACTCTGGCATGGGTCACAGAATAATTCAACGTTGAAAACAACCTCTTCGTGTGGTACGAGCTGGTGAGCGAGTAGCTCCGTCAGAAGCAAAAGTATCCTAAGCTTGCAGAGAATGTGTCAATCGTTTAAAAGCATCGGGCGGAGCACGTATGATGTCATCTGAACAACCAACGCTTACGTATTGGACAGTTTCTTCCGTGTCGGCGTACGTAACTGTGCCGGACTGGAGAGAGATTTACAGTAAGCCGTCAGTACACAGTGACCAATACGGGTTTACGAACTGTTTTTAAGTTTATTATCATCTTGTAAATCGTCATCCCTGTCCAACATATCTGCAGTCACAACTTATAGATGGGGAAGAGAGTTTGTAAAAAATCTTTTTGTAGACACATTAATAAGATCATCTTTGCTGATCATAAACACTCACCTTTTCGCTGTGAAGCCAGAAACACGCGCCTAGAACCAGATTCAAGGGCTTATGTATGGGATATCTGTCGTTCAGTTCTGTCAATGCTTCCACTCGAAACCAAGTGGTTTAAGAGACTCGTGAGCAAGGACGTGGTATATTACCCCCTTGGGAATATCGTAACTAGCCATAAATCTAGCACCAATCATGGGCATGCCTTCAACGGTAAATTTCTAACAAGTAAGCACTGAATGAGAACTCGCACGTAGCCGTAACCTTGAGCCAAGCCCTAAAACCCTAACCCTAGCCACATCCCCAAATCCAAACCACAGTCCAAGCCTGTCAACCCTAGTCCTAATAATAACCCAACTAACATTAGTTCTAACCATTGCCTGAGCCCTGGCCTTGGGTCTAAACCGGGCAACATTAATGTCCAGGACGCTATTGGAGGTTAAAATCCGTTTTTTGCATAACCCCTTTCGCGGCCTACTGCGAGGCAAGCCGTTATTAGACACACCTAACCACGTGAAATAAGGAGGTGGGCTTTTGACAGACCACCAAAAGGGGTCACATATCCCACCTTTACCGACTCGTGTAGAAGAGGCGCGAGCTTGAGTGAACTTGCGTGCTAGTAGCCATGGCATATTAAAAAGCGCTACAGATTGACTTCGCTTTTACTTCATCAAATCCACCTCCCCCTTCCCAACTTCGTTCCTGTTTCATGTAACAATGCCCCCTAAGGATGAGTGCGGGCATGGTGAGGATCTACTACCACTATTAGGAGATAAATGGTTCATGAAAAAGTGGCTATAGCATCACGAGTATGCTTGCCCAGATGGCATTCAGGAAATATGGTTTTGTTTAAAGGCTGCAAGCGGACCGAAACGTGCTATTCATTATTCCTAGTCTGTTGAGAGTGCAATTTCTAAAGCGGACGGCCTGTGCTGGGTCACAGATTAACTGAAGTTTGAAAAAGACCTCATCGTGCAGGTTAAGACGAGCAGGTAAAGGAATAGTTCTGCCATTAACAAAATGGTTCTACGCCTGCAACGAACGGTTCAAGCTATCGAAGGGACTGGGGAAACACACGCGTAATCCGCTGTACAGCTATTGCCTCCTTAGCGATTGGTGGCCTTCGTTTGAGATCACAGAAATATTTCAGGCTAGAAATTAATTTACGGTAATCAGTCAGTGAGCAGTGAGATCTGCGGGTTCCTTAAGTGTGCTAAGTGTCCATTGAAGGGTCATAATTCAACTGGTTCAAGAACTATCACCTCTGCCCATCGTTTTCACCAGTCCGAGGTTTTTGGTCCAGATTAGGCCTCCTTTTTGGTCAAAAACACTCTCCCTATCGCTATGACGTCGGAAACACGCACCTAAACTCAAGGGCATGGTTTTATATAGGTGATGATTGTTGGTCAGATATGTCAATGGTTCAAATCAAAATGGAACGATTTAGCAGAATTCTCTAACAGAGACCGTATACGAATTATAGCAAAGGCACGAGCTTGAGTGCATTTGCATGGCAGTTGCAACAGCATATTGCAACGCAATGCAGCTTGGCTTCACTTTTACACCAACAAGTGCAGTCCCGAACTCGTTCGTGTTTCAGGCAATAATGTCCCTTAAAGGTGAACAGGGGCATGGGGGAGATTTGAATCCCAGCATAAGGAGATAAGTGCATGCCAATGGGAGTGAGTAGGTGAACCCCGTCCTCGTTTTCGCGATATCACGCCTCGGTTGGACAGTACTACAGGAAAGTCTTCTTCTCGGTCTTCATGAGGACTGCGAGTTACTCGTCTGTCGATCTGCCTGGTCGCAGGGAGACTTCCAGAAGGTAAATATTCGCATCGAAAAACTCATCAAAGTCGAATGATTCGCTTGTGGCTCCAGTGCAGTGAGTAGACATTTTTTACATTAAAAGTCGTGCGCCCACATGCCTTTGGTAGGAATGCCACTCTCTGGTGGCTCTTGGCTAAGTTTCGCCCATCAGTGAAGATAGTGATATCGTGCAGCACGGCTGAAAGGCATCCGCTGAACGTCTGCAGTTGTCTTGTTCTAAGTGCCCGCCTCCGAGCAAACCGTCTGCCCACAGTGTTCTGTATGGGTCATTGGCTAACGACCTATTTTCCATGAATATGACCCGGTCTGATTGTGTATGTGAAAATCAAAAATGTCACCGGCTAGATCTGTAAGCGTTGTCTCTGGATTTTGTTGCGTTCAGTCCTATTCCAACCTACATGACTTTCAGGCTTCCCCTGTCTTCATCAAACGAATATTTAGGTGAGGCGGAACAATCGCCAGACAAGTCGGTCGGATTGAATTTGCCTTGTTTTATCCTATACTAGCTGGAACCAGCCACGCGTTGCTGTGGCTCAGTGTGACGAAATGGAAAAGAAAGAAAAATAGGAAGGTGCACGTTTCTAACACGTTTAATTTCATAATGCTTGTTGTTATGCAATATGTCTCTTCGTTGCATTTTCTGCCCAAATATAGAGATTGTATGGTTTGCCGACTCTGAAGCACGCAACATATAGTTGCTCATGCGAGAAACAATCTGTTTGCGGATCCAAACCACACAATTCTAGGGATTGGCCCTAGGCTTTGTCGATGGTGATTGCCAGCGCCAATCGAATCGGAAATTGCAGTCGCCTAAATTGAAATGGCATATCAGTTGGAATCAATGGAATGCGAGGAATTATGACATGTTCACCTTTCAAAGATCCTGTCAAGATAGTTGCTTCCACGACATTTCTCGTTAATTTTTTAACCGCAAGCCGCGTGCCGTTGCAAGACTTCCGCTGGTTGATATTTTACAGCATGTTAATCGGCACGCGTATTTTCAACTGCAGTACGTGCGGCGGCATCTCTGGCAGATCAAGTGAATTTAAAAATTCGGCTGGATAATTAACTGCCTCGTCTGTTTTCATAACAGTGTCGACGGACGTGTATGTGACTGCCTCGCTCTGAATATTAGACTGAATAATGTGATTAAGTTGGTAGACATCTGCGTTCTCGGCCGCAAGAATAGCTCATTCGCTCAGCCAATCGTGATTCGTATACTTGATTTAAATATTGGGAACTACCTTTTCAACCAATTCTCTTTTTGAAGACACTAAATCGCCGAAGGTAAAGGGTAGTGACATGCGTCCTGAAGTCGGATCAATCAGCACCTTTCCGTTCCCAATTGCCAGCAATTGGTGTGAGAATATCTCAGCTGATCGGTCGTTTTGTAGCTGGACACGCATATTTATAATTAATTTTATCGTTTGGTCCTGGCGCCACAAAGTAGTGGTTTTCAGGCAGGCATTTATTTCGTCTGCCGTTGTCGTTGGAGAAATTACAGGAAATGTTTGCCTGAAGTCGCCTGCAAGCATTAGCAATGCGTCTCCAAATGCTCTGCTGTTTCCGCGCAAATCCTGCTGTGATCGATCAAGAACCTCGAGTGTTTTTTACACCATTGTGCATTCATTCTGAACAAAAGGCTTGCATTTCTGCAGCACACTTCCCATGCCGGATGCATTGGAAATGTTGCCCGTGTGAGTTTCAATGAATTGCACGTTCAACGGCAATTTCAAAGTTGAATGAGCAGTTCTTCCGAGGGGGTAGCAGGGTTCCGGTTATTCCGGAGGACGCAAATGCTAAGGCAATGTCATTTTTCAATCGTATTGCTGTCCGAATCAGTCATAGTAGGAACGGTTTACCAGTTCCTCCTGGCGTATCTAAGAAGAAGATTCCTCCAACCCCGTTATTGACAGTCCGCATTATTTGATCGTAAACGTCATTCTGCTCTAGTGCTGGCTTAGGAGAACTTTGTTCGTGATTTCTACGCACATATTCTCAATCATTATTAATGTCTCTTTGTAGATTCCTACCGTGAAATCCACATTTGAGTTCTCTTTGCCTAGTCGATGGAAGATATCTTCAGCCATGTGCAATTAATATTCCTCCCACAATTCTGTTGGAGATTAAGGAGAGCAGGCGGTCAATATTACTGTAAACAATGCACGAATTTGAAGTGGATGGGACGTGCTGTACGCGTCATTAATGCATACATCCCAGTGTCAGTCGTTTCTCAGAAAATTGAGAGCCCGACACGTACTGCGGAAAGTGGAATTTCTAATGCCGTTGACAATTTTCAGTTGCTGGAAAGACGTTAAACCGGGTACATTTACCAACAGCGTGCCACGAAAGAAGAATTCGTCTTGATTGGGATGTACTGTGTACAGTCTGTCTATCCCAGTTCCCTTGCATATGCCCGG